AATCACCTTTCCATACATGCACAAATCAGTAAAAATGTCAAATATCTGCATTAAATTGCATTTATTTATTTGGCAGATGTTTTTTTTTAACCAAAATGATGTACAGCTAACAAAGCATGATCACAAACTACGTTAAGGGCATTTCTCAAGGGCCCAAAGGCATAACCTGCTGATTTGAACCGGCGACCTTCCGATCGCGCGCACAGCGTCCTAAACAAGAGCTAAACAGCGCCCCCTTTCTTCTGTCAAATACAAGGCCCTTGTTTTAAGTTGCAGCCCTTAAGCAACCCTAAATATGGAAACACAACAATGTCACGCAAAAGGCCCGAATACCCCGTTTACTAGTAACATCTCAATACATTTGTCATTGATGTCTTTACGGCTGGTGGGGTAAGTGCTCACCCACATGCCTGCGATGGTCGCCGGGTTCTGCAGCTCCTGCTTCAAAAACGGACCATCAGCAAGCGCTCTGCATGATCCTCGAAGACGGGGGTGCACGCAAGCCGGTCACATCTCTCTCCAAATTCACAACTACAAATGCTCCCGTGACAAAACATATGACAGCTCTGCATGGCTACCTATGCGGTGTGAGGGCAAGTATCAGCGCATCGCGGCGGGCTTACGCACGAAATCCTCTTCACCTGAGGCGATGAGTGCCTTGGCCAGGCTGTTCAGGGAAGCACCTGCTCCTGCCAGACCCTCAAAAACGGTGCACGGACATCAGCTATCAGACTCTCCCACCAGCAGCTATGCGGCTGTTACCTACAGGCTGACTGCTTTGTAACTGCAGATACATTGAAGGTACAAGGTGGGGAAACTAAGTCACCAAGGGCATCTAGTCTTGCACGATCGTCGCATAAGAGCGAAACACATGCAATACTCGCCAACTTCCAGCCAGGGAGGCATGCAGGTAGCACCGGACCCGCTCTCATTAGCTAGCTGCATTCCAGGCACTACCTCGCATACATTGAGGATTCAGTACTCCTTTCGTCCGCTTGTTTACCTTTTTGTCGATTCGAACCGTGAAGACATCACGGTCCCGCAGCGGCTCTCGACTTAAAACCAAGCCATGATTGAATTCCTGGACCGGCTGGTTGCGCTGGGCGGTTCGATTGGAGTTCGACAGGCCGATCAGCTTTCCGCTGCGGGGATGCAGCTCAGCCGCCATCTTCCCTGGGCGGCACGGTTCGCGACACTCGATGCTTTACGACAGTAAAAAAAGTGCCGCTTCGCCGGCACCTTTTAGAAACCCACGGATCGTTTGCCGACAGAAGGTCAGGAATAATCACATGTTTCAGTGCTTTACGGCAGTGTGGCACTGGTTGTTATTTTGTACTCAGCGGTAATATGACTGCGTTCTGTCCGAAATATGATTGTATGCTGTCCCATTAAAGATGATATTATTTTGTGGCAATTTAACGTGAGTTTTTCCATCTAAATGACACTAATAACGCGATTGAACAGACAGTTTACCCTCTTCCAAGTATATTTTGCCTTACAGCCCCACCCCATGTCATAAATAATACCCAACACAAGGTAAATCTGTTATGATGACTCTGCAGATCTGTCCGTAGCATTTAATATTACTGAGTGATACAATAACTTGTGTATGTTAATTGTCGTACGAAGTCTTTAGTCAGTAACGTGCCGTGGATTAGGCTATAATAATTTTAGATATCCATCTATTCAAAATAAATAATTGAAATTTAAATGTTTATGTGTGCAAATATTGTATATGGTTAGTAGCTATCAAATTGTTATTACAATTTATTTACAGTCTCCGTAGTAGTAGTTCGCATATGTGTAATGATTTTTGTACTAATGGGAATATGGAAAAAACACACCTCCGAATGTTATCCGCAGATAATATATATATCATTCTTGCGTGAAAAGGAGCGTTCTAACGTTTGCCGGTGAAATGTCACGCATCTTTCGTCTGCTATACAATGATTCCTGAATTGCTTTTGTAAGAAACATATGGCTGTCATATTGTCTTACTTATTTCGCAAACTTATTTTAATCTCTTCAACTACCATCCTAAATCACGCTAAATTCCGATGACGGCGTTGCTAATAGACTGTCAGATGGGAGTGGACCGTTAACTGTGTCAAGTGGTGTGAGCAGCACCAACGACAGCAGGGGGCAGCATTGTAAGGGTCGACTCAGGGAAGAGCTAAATCTCAGTGAGACATTCCCATGCAGACTGTCTCCTGAGCTCCATGCCCTCAGGTCTCCTGATACTGTTCAAAGGAAACACTGGCTGTACTCATCAGTCCAAGATAACCTGTCACAACACAGTGTTTCATTTTTTTTTAGTACTTGCCAGTAGTCACAATCTTTCTCCTCTTCAATAGATTAAACGATCCATGTCCTCTGTGTGTAGTGCTTTGGCTCTTTTTGCATCAAAAACTATGGATCACGACCAGGAACTCCAAAAGGAAACAAAGATTAACTATTCAGATTAATTATTCAGTTCAATCTACAAATAAATGTAGCAGCTGAAGTTGGAGATAACTGTATGTAAGGGGTAACTTTTATTTGCATTTATGTTATCAGAAGAAGAATCACGCAAAATGTCTCAGACAACTCAGAATATGTAGTAAATGTGAGTTACAGGAAAATAATAGTCAATAGACAGCACTGTGTCCGAAAGCCCACTGTGTAGCAACGCCACTCAAAATTGTGTTTTTTATTGGTGCCCTGGTTCTGTGTGTGTGTCTGATTTTTGCACATTTTCCTTTGGGTTTTCCTCTGTGTCCTCTGAATTCCCATAGGTGAATCAGCATGTTTAAATTGCATTTATTTTGTTGGTTTCCTGTGATGGATTGGCCTCCTACTCGCAGTGTCCCCTTGTCCCCTCTGCTAGCTTGGTTAAGTTCCAGGATTGCTGCAACCTTGCGCTGGTTATGGAAAATGGATGCTCGGAATGAAAACAAAATAGGACCAAAGCTGGTAGGCCCTGAAGCTGTTCTCTGTAGGCCTATAAACACAGCCGAGTTTGCAAAGGAATGGAGAGACTGAATGAACGCTGGTCACTCACTGTGTCGACCTTGTGTGAGACCTAGAAGAGATCCAGAGGCTTCAGAAGAACCCTTCAACTTGTGTGGTAGCAGTGGGAATACAATGAGATAAAGTAATTCTGTCTAAGTTTCATTTGCACAGTTAAAATGCTTCTGTTTTCGCTGTCGTATCCATTGAAGTATAAATGTCTTGCCAAAGTTTTCAAAATTAATTGCCTTCATAAATTCTCAGGTTAAAAAACATGAAATTTGGGAATTCTGATATTTAATTTCACTATAATACTTTATTTCTTTTGAGCTAATTAATATACCATCAATAATTTGTGACAAGGAGTGAAACAGCAGGAGTGACAGTGTGATCAGGAGTGAGAGTGTGATACTTCTATATTACTTCTTGACCATCTTAGACAAAACCAGATTTGTTCTAAATATCAGGTTTTCGCTTGGTAATTAAACTGATTCTAGACCTTTCTTGTCAGAAAAGACTGTGAAAAGTATATTGTCTAAGTTCAGTAGAGATGAAAAAGAATGTACATTCTTCCCACATTCAGAAATAGATGCACATAAGCTTTTATAGTTATGTTTGGTGTTCGGCGAGCCTATTGATGCTAACCGCAAAGCTCTTGGGTGCATCTTAATCTCCCTGCTCATCTGTGCTACTTTCTTTTTCAAAATGTAATGTTTCCGGTGTTGTTTCAGTTTGATCTGCAGTAAGAGCTTTGACTAGGTTGGTGTTTGTGTACAAAGTACCAAATCCTCATGTGGCATTAGGATTCAGGGCCAACAGAAGCCAAACTAAATGGAGGAGTGTGAATCTCAGATAAGTGAGACGTCACTGTTCTGGCTGCTGTTGTGAGAAACCCAAGAACCTTTGATGACACTGGTCATACCCAGCATTTGGACGGTTGCATATTTTATTACAACAAGGGGCTTTGTTCATCCTTCAGGTTATAAGACAGTGCCCTTAATCACCACACTTTCTTGTGCTTAAGGATCTTGCAAGATTGCTTTACTCTGTGTTGGGCACTGCAATCTAAACACCTGTCTCTAGATTGGTGTCTTATCTGTAGTTCTATCTAAACCTCACAATGAGAACATCTTATCTGTGTATAAACAATGTTGTTGGGGCCGCTATAAATAGGCATGTTGGTAGAAGGATGAGGGAAGTACCATGTGACCTGGGGACTTTTGGGGGTGAAGTGTCAGTCAAGCAATACGTCGGTGTGCAAAAGGGACAGCAGAGGGCGAGCGCATGAGAGAAGAGTGGAACGGCTTCAAAGGCAGATGCCATTGTGGCTTTAAAATGGGCAGCAAAGAAGCATTAACACGCAATGTAAACGGACAAATGGGCAGACTTGATGGAAAGAAACCATGGCAGCCTGACAATGTAAAAGGGGGCAAATGAGGAAACCACAGCAATGGGCCTGAGCGAAAGTGACAGGACCCCTCATACTTTCCGATAACAGGCTGGACACACTTGTAATAGACATGATCTAAAATCCTGATGAAACACAGTGCAATATGTTGGAATAAATCGCTATTAAATTTACTTCTGAATGTCTGCCTAGTGCAAAATGGAACAGTACAATACGCAGTGAGAACTGCCAACGGTTATATTGTCTGCCTACAGTATTTTATTTCTTCTTACTTTTTGTGGCTCTCATTCCTATGTTTGTATCGCAAACACATTTGAGCATGTCTTTCTGTCTAATCCTTGGATCTACTGTGATTCAAAGCATATGGGAGGAAGAACCAGGTACACCCTGGATAAACCGATCTGGGGGGAGAAAAGACGTCACAAAAACAGATCTGGGGTCAGTTTCAGACCTGCAAGCTATCCACCCTCGGTGCTCTGTCACTAATATTGCAAAACACATGCTGTTGATCATAAATTATGAGATTTGTGTCTGATAATATACAAAAGCAGAAAATGGAAGAGCAGGACAAAGATTAGCTACACAAATCTTCGGTCAGGCATGATCATCTGTACAGTTTTTATTGAAGTTATCTCTAAAGGGCCTTTGGTTCAATTTCATTCAATCTCTGTCTTAGTTAATTGTCCATATTTTAAAGAACAGGTCATGTAGATCTCAAATGCTGCATAATACCACTTTATAGGAAGTGGAGGATAATGTTGGGAGGTCTGTACAGAAGATGTGGAAGACCAGATGCAGAATGTCTTCCTTAGCATGACGTGGTGAAGGTCATGGGGTCAGAAGTGGAACACTAGGAAACATGGAAAGAGTAACTGGGAGTGAAACAAGGACAATGGCCTGGAAGTCAAGTCTGAGGTCACTGAGGGGTCAGATGAACCATGAAAGGTCACTTGAGGTCAATGAGCAGCAGTAAGCAAGGGTGAAGATTCAAGCAGGTCAGGCGAGGCAGGGCAGCTGTGTGATGAGATAGAGCTGTGTTTGTAGAGGGCATGGTCCAGATCTAATTCCCGATCCTGAATTCTGATCCCCCATATGCAGCCGTGCAGATACTGTGAGTCACTAGTGTTTGCTCTGTAGTCTGTGAGGAAGAGAAGACCAATGAGAAGACAAGTTAGTCACAGTTGCGGTTTAAGGGTATGGACTCAAATCTCAGAATTTGTCATTTAGGGCTCCTGCATCAAATATTCATCCATCCGTCTTTTAAAACCACTTGTCCCATGCGTGGTTGTGCGGGTCTGGAGCTGCAAAATCCACAGGCATAGAGCCAGGGAGGAGACTCAAACTCTGAACTGAATCCCAGAGGTGTGAGAGAAAAGGCCAAACCAATGTGCCAAGGTGCTAGATAGTCCTCTTTGGACTAGTGGAATTTTAGGCTTAAAGAACTGCTCACTTGGTACTCCCCCAAAGGCCAACAGCATGCCATCATCCCAGATGTTCAGCCAATCGCGTGTGTCATCTCTGAGCTCTGTGACGACTTTGTCACCCAGTGCAATTTGCATCGCATTCTCTGATAGGTTTAGCAAGAGCTCATTGTGAGCCAATGACAGACTATCTGTCCGTTCACCAAATGTCACTTCCAGCTTCTGTGGGGAAAAGACAAACACATCCAAATATAATCAAATACTGACCATCATCTTAGGCAATACGTTCACGTCATCCCAGAAAACATCTTGAAAACATGTTGATCTTGCATTGATGCCTGAATGTGACAACAGCTGTGCTATGCTTTTGCAAAACATATAAGATGTGATTCTGGCTAGGATCTCGTACCTGTGTTTGGTTCTGGGCGGCAATGGTAAGTATGGCTTTGTGCTGGGAGTTCAGTATGGCCAGAAGCGTACCAGTCCAGTCGCCTATGTGCCCTTCTATTCCTATGGTGATGCTTCTGCCAGTTCCCATGTGTGTGGGGTAGCCTGTGATGGTGTAAAGGATACAAACTGTCACACGAAGGCTAAAATGCTCCTTTACCCTTCATTCTTCCTCCCTTGCTTATTGGGGATGTAGGGGGCCCCCAATTTTTATAAAATTGAATTATATTGTAAAGTTATATTTCATAATGTGGCTTTGTTAGTCATATCAATGTGTAATAATAATCTATTGTACATGTATTTGTTATTTGTGGGTTTCTGCTCTCTTACCTTGCACCCCCAGAAAGAAAAGCCCCAGAAAGTGTCACTGAGGCCCAACAAAAACCCTCTCTATCTATCATTCTCCCAGAAGGGGGGGGGCTAAGCCATTATTAAGGTGATCTGATGGAAATGGCCCACATTATTACTTAAAATAATCAGTTTACATTTATTTAGGGGTGGGGGGGGGGAGGGTTAAAGCCCCTCCAAAACAGCCCTAGCTCCGCCCCTGCCTTATTCTGTCTATCAATAGCAAACCTCACATTCTCCCATCACATAAAATTAAAGCAGAAGAAGTTACACTAGTTGTCCAGTAGGGGGCACTCTTCTCTTTAATAGTGCAGGAAGACTGTTCCTTCTGATGGAACACCGGTCCAGCGTGCTGACTCTATGGTCATTAATGATCCTAAAGCAGTTTAAGGAGATTATGGGTGTTATCACCAAGGGCTATCTCTGTATCCTTATAATAAAGTAATCGTCAGGGAAAATTAAAAAATGCCAAAGAATAACACTCAATTAAATTCCTCACTTGATCATCAGAGGTGTGGTGAGCAGGCTAGTAGCCATGCATCCCCTAAGTAGATACAGGTAGAAGGCTTAGGTGACTTTTCCCTACTCAAATAAGATACAAAGTACCCGTCGAAGCCCATTGGTGCCCTAGACCCACCAGCCCCCCTGTCCAGGACGAATGAGATTGGTTTGTGAAGTCAGCACCCCCTCAGAAGATGGCACTCTAGGCAGCCGCTTCTCACCAAATAGGTAGACATGAAATGCTTTAAGGACAAAAACACGCAGTACAGAAGATGGCACTCGAGGTGGCCACCTATGTCATCTAATGGAGTGACCAGCACTGGTAAATATGTCTGACCCCCCTCTCACTGCCACGTGCCTCCCTTAACCCAGAGTTTCCCAATCCGAACCTGGGGGGCCCACAGTCGGTCCATGTTTTTGCTCCCTCCGAGCTCCCTGACAGACAGGATTGGGAGGCAGCAAAAACATGGACTGGCTGTGGGTCCCCGAGGATCGTATTGGGAATCATTGCTTTAACCTCTCACCAGAAGTGTTGAAAACAGCCAGGCCTGTCCCAGGGAAGAAGCTGCCCCTCCGGATATGGGCGTAACAGGCCCGGGGCTCCCCCACCAGGTCCGTGTCCCAGGGCTGGCTCAGGTTCAGCCAGTTTCCCGTTCTCACGCAGCCGTCCATCTCCAGCCGCAGCTGCCTCACAGAAGAGAGACGACGAGGAAGACTCCGGTATCAGAAACGGCACGCAAAGCAGAATGAGCTAATCTATGAGGCTCAGCACTGCCCCCTGCTGACGGCTGATTGAAAACTTTCATAAAGGGCGACTCCTGACCGAGTTGAAAAGCTCCAGGTCTTTGACCAAGATGCCCCCTAGGGACAGGCGAATGAGTCCCGTGGTGTCCTGCTGGGCATGCTGGGAATGCAGCCCCACCACTAGTGCCTTAGTGCCGTTCACCTCCAGGACCACGGAATGACCTTCGCTGCGCAGTTGCACCTTGGGGGGAGGGGGGGGGGATACAAAGGGAAGCTGTGATGTTATAAATGGTGAAGAAGCACACAGAACATGAAAGACCAATGACCTTGATGACCTCGAGTGACCTTGAGCAACCTTGTCCTGAAGTGTTGCAGCTGTTATTAGAATTATACGGCGAGCTGAAATGCCCACTCTCTCCCCCAATTGGGACACACTAAATGTGTGCATCTTGGCGAAAAACTTTCGTAATAAAAGTTGTTTATAGCAAATAGGATGCGTTCCATACGGTGGCCTGGCGTAGTGCCCTGCGTTTCCCCTCCCTTGTGCCCAGGCTGCCCACAACCCCTTCCTGACTGATGGATAGACAGTCTCACAAATACACAATTAAATCTTTGGCAAGCAGAAGACCTGCTTCAGTCTGGGGTTTCGTGTCCGCTTAGATGATCAGTAAATGGCGCTATGAGCCTCTCTGAGGTGCTAATTAAAACTCCCTTGCTCTGTAAAACCAGTATATGTAAGCTCTAGGAATCAGCCCCCCCTGCAGTCACGGGACACAGTGGGTCTCGTACCTGGTGCCAGTGGCCGTTATTGAGCCTGGGCCCCCCTGTCACGGCGGCTATCGTTCCACTTTTCCTGATCTGCATCTCGGGAACGCCACCGCGGAGACCCAGCACGAACCACTCAGCACCGGCATGTGTATCCCCGTACAGAACCAGGCCCTCGGGGTCCAGGGTCCGGAACTCGAATGTCGACCTAATGCTGCAAGTGGGCGACACAAACCACGACCAACCTTTCAGTGATTTAAAAAAAATTAAAAATTCACCTTTTGAAAAAATTTCGTCCGCCTGTCATGCAATGCACAGTTTCATACATTAAAACTACTTGCATGTTAATTAATTCATTTTTGTACATATTGATTGCATATTACATTTCATGTCCTTTGTTTTTGTTTGTGAACTCAATGTGCTTTCATTCATTTATTATTTTGTGCTGTTCATTCATTCATTTATTCATTCATTCATTGACAATAAAGAATTAAATCTTTGAATGATTGTAACTGCGCAGGAACGGCAATGCCTTACGTACGGTAGATAATATTAAGGTCATCTGTACATTCCGCAGAGGTTTGGATAGACTGACCTTGTCACCTCTGTCAGATTGGCTTTCATGTGCATTAAGGGCGTCTTCAGTCCCCAACTCTGTCCGAGGTCCAGGGGGCCATTTCCCGATATAAGCCTCTGTAAAACACCACACTGCCCTGTCACATCCTTACACACAAACACACACACTACGCACTGTAATCATCCTGGTGGATGAGTGATCATACTGGTGGGTGGTACATGACTCAGCATGTTAGGCCTCTGTGTCATCAGAAGGTCGCTGGTTCGAATCCTGTATTCAATAAAATAATCACATTGCCAGCAAGCCTTGAGCAAAGCCCTGGACCATCTGCTCCAGAGTGTCAGATAAATGGCTGATAAACTGTGACCCCATGCCCCATACTTCCCTGTGTACGGGTATGCGTCGAAAAAGGAGATGGAATATGCAAAAAAACAAAGAATTGTGTACTTGTGCAAATCACAGAATAAAGCGTCTCATCACTCAGGCACACAATACTGTCACACCATTATAGACACACACACAACCACGCAATATCTGCCATACACACAGAGAGAACAGCACCGTCCTGTTATGCACACTGTCCCAGAGGTCACACTCAAACAGAGAAAAAATGCTTCATCATACAATTATACATAGAAATGCATTTTGTGGAGATTCTGATTCCAGCTGCCAGATGTATCATTTCAGGAAATTCACACAGCGACACCATCTTGTGCTAAATGGTGAGCCGTCTTTACATTTCTCATTTACTAAGGAAGCTCTTTGCGGCTCCATGACTTACTGACACAAATGGACCTTTATGTTTGGGTTTTTCTAAGATATCTTTATGTACTTGTAATCATAAGATCATTTTTTCACCATTTGTTATTTATTCTCCTGAGAAGAATTGTAAGTTCAGCATCAGTTAGTGAAACCTTACATAATCGTGAAATTGAATCGTGCTAAAAACTCAGTCTCTATGTTCAGGGGATGAAGAAAAATGGAGTTTGAAGCTCATATGATAGAAGAAAAACACAAAAAAAAATAGAAGAAGCTGGTTTTTCCATTGCGAGAGGAAATGGACTCACCCTCCTGACCCCGGGCTCCTCCACTGCTTCTCGCGTGCGCTGGGCCAAACTCACACACAGCAGAACCAGAAGCAGAGGCTGCGGGTCCATTCTTCAGAGGAGCACGCGACCGCAGCGCCCGTGGAAGCCCTCGCTAACGCTCGCTATGGGCTGTGCCGTGAGAAGCCAGCATCTGCGCCTCTGCTCTGTCGCCTCCCTTCTGACCTGCTGGAGGCCAACCAGGACAAACATGTTGACATTTTGCTCCCTGGAAAGCATCGATCGGCAGAAGCATGTTTGTGTCAATCTGCCTGCTTCACTCGCCATGCCTTTCTGTACGGGTCAGATGAGAGCGGCTGGGTCATCAGTGCCAGTCCTGAGCATCCATTCCCGAATAAAGTTTGTTATGTTGATTCGCAGTTTGTCACGTGCTTAGTGGAAAGAGGACTCGCTCTGAATGTTATTCTTTCAAGGACATCCATCCACCTTTTTCTGCCACGTATCTTGGTCAGGGTCACGGGGAGATCTGGGGTCTATACCAGATGGCACATGACTAGGGAGGAGGGAACATGCTCACACATTAGCCAACTTAGCCTAGCTAACCTAACTTTGTCATAGTGCTGTAGGAAACAGCCAGTGTACCCCAAGGTAAATTTGTGTGACACAGGCAGGACATGTAAACCCCATACAAATACAAAAGGGTATTCAAACCCCCAGCCACAGTGCCACCCCCACTGAAAAACATTCAAGGACAAAGCTACGTGTGTCTGTCTCCTGGCACCACACCTAATATAGTATTAGTGTTGTATTACTATTTTACATTTCAGATTTTCAGTACTAAGCCTGATATAATAATTATTGTTTATTAAATTATTCGTAAAATCCCTTTCGGAATCCCTTATTGATTACAGAGTATATTAAAGCTTATTATCTTATCACTGTTTACACTATGTGTAGTAATGCTGAAAGTGGGTGTCTGTAGTGTTTTTTTAAGTGGGACTGTGATTTGTTATTACGAAAACACTCAAACGAGGGCCGAGACCCCACCCCACCCCACCCCCTTCTTAACTTGCCATCTCTGCTTTTTTGCTGAGCAGGGTGGGCTCGTGTGAGTATGTTTGCAATGCTGGTGACCTTTGTTATGTGGCGACTGTTGTTTACTCGCCTGTTACAGGGAAACCTTGACTCACTCACGAGGCAGGCCTGCGTGATCCTGACATGTGGGTGTACTCTCTTTAAGGGGGCCTTCTAGCAAACCCACTCCTTCGAACACGATATACAGTGTCTCTTTGTCACCCCAGAAAGTGCACGGTGCAGACCACCGCAGGGACTGGGGCGGGGGGCCTCAAGGATTTCCTTCTTCTACTGTAGAGTAAACCACTTCAATGACTCTATTTCTTACATAGAGCTGATGATGTTAAACTCTTAACTGGCTTGGGAAATTCGACAAATTATGTTGCATATGTGGAATTTTCATGTTCTCCCTGTGTTACACAGGTGTCTTCTGGGAATTCTGGTTTCCTCTCACCCTCAAAGGCCATGCAAGTTGGTGATTTGGGATCCCTAACTTGGCCATAGTGTGTGTTTGTGCCCTGTAACGAGCTTGCATCTCATCCCAGATGTTCCCCTGCCTGGCATAGGCTCTCTCCCATGCCCCCTGTACTAGATATGAAGTAGGGAGATAGATAGATATTTGTATATCTATAATTTATTATGTATTTTCTACATACAGTTTAGCAGAATAAACCACTCTGTTTTTTCTGTGGGAGTGACAGACAAAATGGCCGAGGGATCCGTATGGAATCCATGCATCGCTTCCCAAAATCAGTCAGGTGCCAGTGAGTTACTAATTGCTTGCAGTGAGAATATGTTCTCCAACTGGTGCTTGGCCTCCTGATGCAGTGGCTGTGTGGTAGTTTGGAAGTGGGAGGAGTGGGCCGTGCACGTACAGGAAAAGCTCATATTAGGTTCCCTCTGTAGATAAGATACTTCTGCGAGCAGCTGTCCTCTAATACTGGACTGGAAACGGTTAATTCAGGGGTTCCTTTGATGTGTTTGGAATTTGGTTTTGTAATGTGCAATAAAAAGTACCAATGTTTGTCCCTGTCATCTGAGAATGAGCTGTGGAATCTCCTACAAAGGCCTACGTGCTGAAAAAAAAGTGACTGAGGTCTACCGTCATTAGACCCCAAAGCCAGCCTTATTAAACCAGCAGGCTGTTTACATTAAATCTCTATCTCCCTCTAGTGGAAAAAATGAACATGACATTAAAATTAACATCCATCAGTGGAGTTCATATATGATGGGCCTTCATTTGTGTCGCAATAATTTATAGCTGTGACCATCAGTCTGTCAAGAATATAAGAAGAAAATGCCATTAATATATGGATTTATCTGCAGCATTGCATCGCAAAGTTATGGCAAAGCAGCTCTTGGAGAGAAACAGCAGTTAATGGGACATTATAACTGAGCAACTGACAGACAACGGACTGGGTCATCAGGTTAATACTTTATTTGTTTGATTGTAGCGGGAAGGAAGAAAACAGGAAAAAAATGAGGAATGAATGAAGTAAAATTATGAAGAGACAGAGGGTGGGGTCGGTAGGGTCATTTGTGGGTACAAGCCTTTGTCAGACCTGTGGCAGAACTGAACTTTATCCCATATTCGTAACCGGCCTGTTCTACCTCCCTCCCTCCACTACGACTTTGGACCAGTGTCAGAGCACGACGTAGGTGCAGATTTCCCAAATTCACCTGCCTAATTGGACTCCTCCAAGCTTCCTCGTGAGACGAGAAACTCGAGCTCGCTTACCAACCTCTCACAGTCCTCAGAAGTCAGCATCGATACTTAAGCACAGAAATGGAATGCCACGTGATTTAGGGTAAAATTAACTTAACATAATTTCACCCCTACAAACAGGAATATCAGGTCCTCCTGTTCTAACACTCAACCTCATGAGTCACCTGATCAACTAGAGAGCCAAACAGGCATGTGCGCGCAAAACCCCTGAAGGTCGCCGTTGTGGGAAATGTGTGGACACACAGCATGACTGGTCGGGTCTGGAGACATAATCACAGGCCCACACAATTCACGTCACCATAACATGAAGCCATTCTGAGGGTTTTCTTAATGCTTTCATTTTCAAAACACGGATATAAACGACTATAAATACAAATATAACTATCGGTGCGATTAATATAAGTTGAGTTTCTTTAGGATTTGTTAACAAAAAAAAATGCAAGGAAAAAGTCAGTAGTAATGTGCTGTAGACACAGGGCCTGCTTTTTAATTTGCTTTTTTAAAAATAAATTTTTAAAAAACAGGTGCAAATTTTCACACCAGTGCAAAAGTTCGCCAGATCGGGGGAGGTTTGTTTGACCTTTGACCGTTTTCTTTGTTTTCTTTAACGAACCAAAAGGCTTGTAACCACACCCGAGCCATATGAGTGCTATGGCTTCACCTTCTGGTACAGGCACAGCAACGTAAAAGGTGTTTTGGGGGGGGGGGGGGTAAAGTGCTGGGGGAGAAAAAAAGTGGGTGGAGTTTTAGAAGGACAGCTCCCGTTGTGGTCATGAACACGTGGAAGCCTTGTTTTGTTTTTGGTTTCAAATTTTGCAAATATGGGAGGGGGGGGGGTGAAATATAGATGGAGACCAAAAAAGAATCAAAAGATGGAGGGGAGAGTAGTAACTAATACAAACGAAAGTGAAGACATACCAGAGTTGATACTGTAAAGAAGCAAGTCTTGCTCATGCTTTGTAAATACAGAACCCAACACATGTTCCTACAGGACTACTGTATATATACCAGACCATTCAAGAGTGGCTGTAGATCTTTAACATATTATTATTCAAGTCAGAAAACATAATCCATCTACTTTTAGTTGTTATTGTTTTTTTTTTTGTTTCTTTTTTGTACTTCATCAACCTTGTGACTAAATTACATTCATTTTTTTTTCTGTGTATGCAAACCCCTTTTTTACAGAACTCTCTGTCTGGTAACAAGGAAAAAAAAACCGCAAAACAAACGGAAGGTTGTGTATTAAAACAAAAAAAAAAACAGGGAGATACACATGAAAGAGAGGTCACGAGGGACCGGGGAAGTCCACCGTGATGGGCTGTGCTCCCCGCCCCACCCCACCCCATTCCAGCTGGGGATGGCATCTGCAGCAGATGATACTAAACCCTCATCTACTTCGGGAGAAATGGGAGAAGTGTATCCATCCGCTGCCGAGCCCCCCCAGCTGTTACTGATGCAGAAATCATAACTTGACAGAAACTGCCCCCAATCCTATGCTCATTTTGGGGGATGAGTTTCGCATTTTTTTCAGTTATTTTGTCCTTACTTAGGGCAATCCGATTCAAGCCAGAACGCCCCAACCCCTTTAAATGTGTCTCTAGGAAGTAACGCAAGGCTCAGACTGAATTCTTCCCTCTCTCGCTCGCTCTCTCTCACACGCTCCCTCCCTCTTCATGGACACACACACACACACACACACACACACATACACACCCACACTCATGCTCCCAGACCTGGCACACAGAGCGTGTCTTTGGGGGGGGGGGACACCGGGGAGGCGCGGGGGACTGAAAGAAAAGCTCTCTAAATCAGGGTAAATCGCTGTCTTCTTCTCCTTTTTTATTGTCATATTTTTTTCCCTTTTCATCGTAGTAAGAGATGAGATGAGTAACGAGAGTCGGAAGTACGTGACCGAGTGCCTGCTCTGTGTGCTCACCCCAAGTGGCTGTTCCCATGTGGAGTCGTCAGGGCTTAACTCAGCTACAAGTCTGGAATATAACAGCTTATACGTAAACGTTAAGGTGGGGGTGGGGTGGGGCACCTGCAGCTCCTTACAGGTAAAACCAGAGGACCGCTTCACCCTCAGCTCGAACCGGCGTCCCTCCCCAAGCCGAGGTACAGCCACCCCCGACGGCACAGGCCGCTCCTCTGCAAATGACACACCCCTCTGACTCCCCCTGTCGGGCTGCCTTTACTGTGGCTTTTTGGAATGAAGTTGGGGGGGGGGCCCATGCCCACGCACAGAAAACCCATGCGGGCACCTGCACACATACACACACACACACACACACACACACACACACACACACACTGAACACGCCGCCCCAGTTGCCCTCTGACCTCCGTCGTGTGCAGTGATGCTCTCTCATCCTTTTTCTCTCCTAAAATTTTACCAGCCTCAAGTGAGGTTTTTCTTTTTTGGATTTTTTTTTTTTTTGTTTTTCTTTTTGCAGTCACTATAAAGGGAAGCAGACGGAACTAATTTTTGCAAAACACACACCCTGTTAGCTGTAATTATTGTTATATTATAGTTATTAATATTATAACAAGTCTGAGAGGACAGTTAATCGAGCACTAGTACTACCACAGAAAGAAAGGATAAAAGGAGAGAGGTGTACTGGAAGTGCTAGATAAACTGGGGGTGGGGGGAGAGGTCCTCCATCCTATCCCTCCCTCCAACCACCCCCTTTTAACTTCCCCCTCCAAAGCCTCGCCTCTTTTACTCCTCCTCTAAAATTGCCTAGGTCTCATCACTACTTTACAAAAGAGAGGCAGGGACTGAGCAAGTATATTCAGTCACAAAGGAAAAAGCAAGCCCCCCCCCGCCCCCCACCGAGAAAGCCCACCCGCCTTTTTAAATATTCCTCCTCTGAGCATCCCTGGCCTATGGGTTGCTGCTGTCTCTCTTCTTGCCACTGCCGCTGCTGCTGCCGTAGTGGCTGGGATTGGCCACCAGGGGGTGCGGCACTGCGCCCACATAAGGGTTGGCGCCGTAGTTTAAGAGGGCAGGCAGGAAGGGTAACGGCTCCACCTTGTCCCCCGGGGCCATCATGTTCAGGGCCATGGGCAGGGCAGCTAAGCTGTAAGGGTAGGGAAGCAGCTGTGGACCATACAGAAGCTGATACGGGTCAGGGTAAAAGGGCAGTTTAGCCAGGTCCCCATTGGCAACCATCTTCCCCAAGGGGCCAAAAGGGATGGGGCTGGCGGGGTAGGACACTAGGATGTTGTCTTCATGTTTCTTACTCGAACGGCAGCCCCCAGGCACAATGAGGGGCAGGGGGAACTCCTGGACAGGGTACCCAGCTTCTCCGTGGGAGCCCATGGAGGTGTCCTCCTCGGCCTTAGTCTCCGGCGGGGGGGCTCGAGGAAGTAGAAGGGCATGTGCAGATGGGCGATCGTTCGCTCGGGATGAGAATGGAGGCTGCAGGAGCAGAGGCCTCTCGGAAGCGCGGCCCCCCCGTGGAGATGGGGAGGCCTCCAAATGCGCTCTTGCCAGGAGGTCTGTAGCATGCGGGGAGCAGCGTGGTGACTTGAGGGCTTTCTGCGGGGTGCTGGTTACAGTGGTCTGAGCAACAGAATATTCCGGAGTCTCCACCTCTTGTTTAGGCACCAGCAGGGTCACCTCCCTCTGGTCCATGCCTGTGTTTGCCTTAGCCTGCTGAGTTAGCTCCCTTTCTCTCAGCACGACGGACGGCATTGTCAGGTCCTGTGCTTGGCTGGGATTCGGGCTTTTGGACAGGGCCGTCGCCCTGAGATTTTGAGCCGCCCTGGAATCGTCCATCTCGCTATGCAGCCTCTTGACCCCTCGGCCGAGACTGCTCTCGATCTCCTGATCTGCAGCACCCGTGCAGACCACCCCACCCCTCCCACCAGCAGCCATTGTTATAGGCGCTGCAGCAGCAGATTCCATCCGAGCTTGCAGCTTCATCGCCACGTCTGGAGAAGTGTCAGATTTCTTGTCTTTCTGGGCTGGGCTGTTCCTCTGGCTGTCCTTCCCTTCTGGGCTTCTCTCTCTCTGTGTTCTGAAAGAATGGGTTGTATCTATGGATTCTTTTCCTTTGAGGACCAACACACTCTGAAGGTTAGAAGATGGGCCAGGGACGGAGCGAGGAGGCTCACCGCGTGGACTCGGGTTTCGATCAGTAGCTAGACCATTGTTTCTGTGCTCTGAACTGCCCCTGCTTCCCAGATTTTGTGGTTCTGCCTCTGCTTTTCCAGGATGCTCAAAATTTGCTGTTTGGGCATCAGAGCTGCCATTTGTCTGTGAGATTGATGCAGGGTAGCTGATAACTGGAATGGACTGAGCATATTCTGTCTTCATATCTGAGTCAGTAGTCCCTGGTGGTGGCATCTCCTTTTCTGGAGCAAGAGCCCCACATTCTGAATCGTCCTCTGCAGCAGGACTGCCTGACTCATGGAGTTTGGCATGGCGCCCCAGTGCAGCGGCGGTCTTGCACACCTTAGAGCAGTGCGGACAAACGTGCCTAACAGAAGGCCTTCTGCCCACACGCCCTGGGCTACCCTTTTCTTGCCCAACCCTCTCTATCTCCATCTCTGGGTCCAAGTCACGGTTTTGCAATGTGGAAGACGACTGCTCAGGGGCAATGTGCTGGGCCCTCTGGTGTTTCTCCAGCCGGGCCTGGGATGAGAAGGTTTCTCGACAGAGTAAACATACAAATTCCAGAAGGTGTGTCAGCTCATGCTTGTCCCTCTTCCGAGTGGTGGAAAACCGCCTTCCACAGGTTCCACATTCGGGTGAGTGCCCCATCGGCTCGTGCCTGTCCTGTCTGATTGGAGAAGGACAGGATACTTTTGGAAAGACCTGGGTAGGGGTTAAAGTCGGGCTGAGTCCACAATCTGACTTTTTATTTTTTGTGTCCCAACCTTGCTGTTCATTAGTGGAAATCGGACTGCCATTTGTAATATCAACAGAGTGCCTGTTCTCTACTCCTTCCTTCCTCATTCCCTCGTTCTCCTCGTCATCCACACCCTCCTCATCTTCATCATCATCATCGTCATCCTCATCGTCCTCATCATCCTTTTCCTCATCCTCCCCTTTGATGCTGTGGTCCATGATTTTTTCTGCCCTCTTCATCAGTCTAAGAGAGCGCTTGTATCGCAGTTTGCGGTGCCAGGAGGACTTCTTCACCCTCTGCACATGAAGCGTCTTGCGCTTGGGCTTGTAGGTGTAATATGGTCGCCACAGGTTATCCTCCGTATCCTGGTCACTGTCCTCCTCGCGTACCTCCTGGCGGAAGTAGTACTCTCGGACCTTGCTGGGGGATTTGGGGGGTTTTTGGTTTTTTTTCTTGGTCTCCACTTCCAGCTGCTTGCTGGTGTCACGGTGTGGGCGATGCCTGTGCCGATGGTGGTGGTGATGTGCGTGCTGGGGCTTGGTTGCATCCTGTGGTACAGGATCAGTCTTTCTTGATTTAGTGGACGGGGGAGGGCTTTTATCCCTCATGAGGTCCGTTTCGGAGATTCTTCTCTTGACGATGGCTTCCTCCCCAATACGCACCGTAATCTGACAAAGAGGAGCGACGCCCCTCACCTCGGATACACCAGCCATGCAGGCCGGCTTCGCCATGTAGGTTATGCTCTTGCTGTGTGCCTTGCGCCCCTTTGAGTGCCTCCCCTTTTCTTCCTCATCGATTGCCTCTGTGCTTCCGAGATTCTCTGTGGTAGCTGAGCCCTCTTCCTCCCACAAGCCCTGCCTCTGTGCCTGGATGTATTCCTTCAACATATGCTTTTTCATGGGCCGATGAGTGGCCTTAGGGGACAGCTGACTATTGCTGGGTTCTGGGGAGGAGCTGTTGTGGAAGTTTGTGCCAACCCCGGAGGTTATCTGGTTGCTGTGCACGATGACAGAGGAGGAGACAGCTGTGCCATGGACAATGACTGAAGGCTTAGGATGTCCATAAGTGATAACAGAGGAGACCGCCGCTTTGGAGCCAGAGTTCCCCTTAGGCAATTCAAGGTTGCTGCTGCTGCTGCTGCCCACAGAATCTTCCTTGGATGTCTCATCCTCGGCCGTCCTTACGGGCTTATCCAATGAAGCAGAGGAAACCTTAGAGGTTTCCCCTTGATCCAAACCCCCAGAGCCTAGTCTGAACGGGAAGTTGGTGGGGTCAGGCTGCAAGCCCTGTCTATGGTCATCTCCCATGAGTGAGCGCAGCTCATCAGGATCCAGGGAGGTGGGTAGACTGCAGTCCAGGGGCAAAGGCAGAGGCATAGCAGAGTCAGGGGGCAAAAGTAGGCTATCAGCAAGGGTCTGACTGTAGGTTTTGTAAGGCCTCTTCTGGGATCGCATGGGCAGCAAGCGGTACAGCTTCAGAGCGTTAGCCTTCTGCTTGTAGCCACCATTGGCCGTCTTCTCGCTAGAGATGAGACCAGGGCTGATACCATGGAGGGCCTTCTGATGTGTCTTGAGGTTATAATAGGTGGCGAATGCCTCCCAGCAGAAGATGCACTGGTAACGGCGTTCGCCGGTGTGCCAGACCTCGTGCTTGGTGCGGTATTCGGCCAGGGCGAAGACCTTGTCGCAGAAGCGGCAGGGGTACTTGCGCCGCCAGGAGTGAACATTGGAGTGACGCTTGAGGCTGGAGAGTGTCATGTAGGAACGCTCACAGACAGCACAGAAGTAAATGATGTGTCCATCCACCACTTTCACAAAGTGGTCCTCCTCGGCGAGTAGGTCTACTCGGGGGAAGCTACGGTGGTGTCGCCCGAGGAAGCCCCGTCCTTTCTTCACGGGTCGTCCAGGTCCCACGCGGCCTTGGTCAGACTGGTCCTCTGTCTCTCCTCCTCTTGCTGCCTCCTCTTCCCCCTCTTCTAGTGGCTCTTGCTTTGTCTGAACGGGTAGGATGGGAGGAGCCTGTCTGCAGACGGCCTCATGGGACTGGAGCCTCTTGTTGTGGATGAAGGCTTTGCCACAGTGCCGACAGCTGAGCGCCCGCCCTCCCCGGTGCAGCCTCATGTGGACGGTGAGGGACGAAGCGGAGCTGAATAGACGGTGGCAGACCCCACACAGCAGCTCGGACTTTGGCGCTGTCTGGTCGGAGCTAGGAGGCATGGGAGGAGGTGTGCAGGATTGTGGCTCAGGGTCAGGCTGAGGAAGGCCTGATCCCATGGACGGGCTACCTGGTCTTCCTTGTTTCCCACTTGGACACTGCTCTGGCTCAGTGGGCCGATGGCCCTGGAAGGCCGCAGTGCTCATGTTGAACAGAATCTGCGCTGTCTCTGCGGTAGAGCGCTCAGAGTCTACGCCTGCAGGGAAGCTGTCACCCATCCCCTTCTTTGGATAGACCAGCAGCTGTCCGGGGTGGGGCGGTGGAGGAAGGCTCTGGAATTGTGGAGAAGCGCTGGTCATGGAAGAGGCTGGTGAGGATCGCGAATCCTTCCTGGCAGGTGCAGTGAGGTCGATGGGAGACAACGAGGAGGGGGACGGGGAGCTCTCGGGCCTTTTGTGGAGGCGATGCAGCTGGCTGTCCACGGAGGCGGCCATCTTCCACTGGGACTCCTCAGAGTAGGCTGGGGAGGAGGACGGTGAGTGGGAGGAGGTGCAGTGCTTTTTTGGTACAAGGCTGGGGAAAACCGTGCCAAGGGGGAAACAGTGGGGTGTTCTTGCACTCTTGGCGGCATCCGCCTTGTCCGTTTCCTCCATCCCGTTGATTTTGCCCAGTCCGCTTTTGCTTTTCATCTGATTTGACTCCCCCACTACTAGCCCAGCCAGGAAAGGCACACCCAGGCTACGACCTGCTTCAGAGAGTCGCTTGGTCCCCTTGGCGCAATGCTGGGAGACGCGAGAGGTGTAGATGTAGTCCAGTAGGTCAGACAGTACCTTCGGCTGAAGGTGAGGTAACTCAAGCACCCTGTCCTTCCCGAGGCTAGCCACGGGGTGAGGGGGAGGTGGAGGTGTCAGAGCAGAAGGTGACAGCAGCTGTTGGAAGTAGGGACTGCAAGCAGCTAGTACGCTCTTGTGTGCAGAGAACTTGGTGTCGTTGGCGGCGATGAGCGTGATGTCACAGAACGGGGTGGGGCCGGCCAGCCGCTGTTCATTCAGCTGTGACAAGAGCGTGCCCGCGTGGAAAGGGTCCCAGACTTCTGTCCGGGACACCATGACCTCGCGCCAAAACCTAGCAAAGAGAGACGGAGAGAAGGGGGGGTCAATAAATAATGCAACACCATATACAGTCTAAATAAAAGGAAAAAAAAAGTCCCGGCCAACAAAGTGTTGCTGTGAAATACGGCAATCTGTCTCAACAAAGCACTATTTAATTAGCTGGTCACCATATGACATTGTGTCACAATGGGGGGGGGGATACCAGAGGCTCGGAAACAAGTGTAAGTCCCGTTTTAAGCTCCATCTCCACTCTCTTTCCAGTCCAATCACAGCCAGTCTGTAATAACATCCCACTGATCCAGGCAAGCAAATGTATAAAGCAATGTGCTATAAAAAAAATCCCAAAACATCCTAGAACTGCGCGCTCATCTTCCTTAGGTCACTAGGGCCGCAGGTACAAAAAAAACCACACCGAAAGACAAACCGACGCATGATTCCTTGAATTCCCCTTTTACCGTGGCTGCGATTACAGAGGATTTCATGATGCTCAAAAGACAGGGCTTAGCTTAACTTGAACTGATTATTAACCTCAGATCATTTTAAATCATCCTTTAAAAACATGGCGTGGTCTATTTTCTTTGCAGAAGAGGGTATGGGGTGGGCCGAGGGGGGCGGACGGTTTGGGGAAAATGAGCTCTGGTAGATTCCCAGTTCCGGCACAGGACGTTCAGCGGTATCCCAGCGATCGGTTCCAGTGTGGCGTAGCGACACCGACGCCTAACAGAAAGCAATTGCGAGCTAATCAAGACTCCCCTAAATAGCGCGCTGAGTGACACATGGCCGCTGAACTTAAAATAGACCCGTGACAAGCAGGCGGCTGAAGGCGAGGGAGGGGTCATTTTCATGGCGGGCTGCTCCTTTCCCGTCGTAGTCACTAGCGACCTTTTGCTGGGGGCCGCAGGCTTCGTCGTTATGGGCGAGCGGGGGCTGGGGAGATGGGGGGGGTTAGTTTTTTTTCAGCTTGCTGCATCCGGTCTGATCTGTCGCAGCTCTGCTGGGGAAGGCGGAGAGCCGCTGCCCTTTGCAATATTAATTCCGCCTAGACAGCAGAAAGGCGCGTTTTGCGGCCATATTGTACGAACGGGGCCGCCTTGTGTTACCGCCGGAGGTTTCTTTGTGGCGTGTGTGTGTGTGTGTGTGTGTGTTCTTTTTAATCTGCTGGGCCCACGCAATGACAATCTGCGAGTCAGGACGACAGTTGGGATGTAACGATGCGGCAGACAAAAAAAAAGAAAAAAAAGGAGGCTCTCCTCCCGCGTTTTGGTCCTGCTGGCCCAGCCAGGCAGGCCCCTGTAAAATTCCACAAGCAGCCCTTAACCGACAGAAACTAGGTCAGCACTGTTATTGCAGAGAGGAGAGGAGGGAGAGGTGGGGAGAGACCGAGGCCGAGCCCAGGAGCACACAAGGCGGGACCCGCCAACAGGCGCCCTCCGTCCGGTGCTGCGCAGCTACGCGGCGACACGCTGCAGGTCCACATGCCGACGGGAAGGAGCGGTCCAGACAGGCGGGCGTGCTCCTTGCAGGGACTGGCATATTTAATGGCAGGCAGGAACAAGAAAACATACAGCGCAGAGGAGGGCACGCAGGTACAGGTGACAGTCAGACGCGAGGCTACAGGACGGCTGTCCTCTGGCGGAGGGGCATACATATGCAAAGGCGGAACAGCGCCCGCAGGCCGTCCGCAGAACGCGCCGGAAACCCTGTTTTAAATTAAGATACAAATGAAGAGACGGGCAGACAAACAAGATGAGACTAAGTCACGATTTTAGGCGACGTTTGCGCTGACACGCACATCCACCGCCCCCTCGCTCTCTCTCTCTCTCTCTCTCTCTCTCTCCCTCTCTCTCTCTCTATCTCCGTCTCCCTGTGACGCACACTGCCTCACCACAAAACAGACCGGCCAAGCGTGACAGGGGCTCGGCATGCAGTCCCCTCCCCCTTCACAGAGGGTCGACTGATCCCTCCTCCCTCACCCCCCACCAACGCACCCCCAGCCACCCTGCTCTGGCCCCTACGTCCTCCTGGGTCACCACTCCAAACACTCACCCACAATTGGAGCAGCGGCCCTTAGTGGCCAGCCAGAGCTGGATTCCCAAGTTCAGTTTGCCGCGATAAATCTAATGCGATTGTTGGCGGGCAGGGGGGTGGTGAGGGGTAGCAGGGCACTAAACGGGTGATGCCAGTGCCCATCCATCCGATTGCAAGCTGCGTGATGCAATCCAGGCCACATCTGGCCTTGCATGGCACTGAGAGTCCCCTGCGTTTTCGGGACTTCTCCATGGGTGCGTTTACTGCCTTATCTGGGCCAGCTCCTCACTTCAAATGGCGTCAACGCGCTGTTTTTAAAACCCTTCAAATCCCCCCGCCCCCCCCACCGACATTTTCCACATTACCACCTTAGAAAAAGACCGTTCAGCTGTCCGTCGTTAAAAAAGTGCTTCTGCAATTATTATATACCAAAAAATTGCAATAAATGCGGTCAAAGTCTTTTTGGTTGCAACAGCCTATGAAACCGCAGGATGGCGGCGGCGGCGGCGATGACAACATCACACGGCTTAGAGAAAACGGTCGCAGCGAAATGGAAATAAACGACATGAAAAACAACAAAGCGCAAGAAGCAGAGGCCGCAGAGGTGTCAGCGGGCCTGTGAGCTGCAGCCTGGTTAGTGCATAACACCTTGGCACTCGGATATGCGTCTAGGGGGTAAAAGTTAGCTGCACGATCAGGAGTGACTGGCTGGTGTGTTCCCCTGCCCCCCAGGACTAATAGGAGACAGGGAATCGCATGTAGCGGCTGGCGTCTGTGTGGGCAGCTACGGGGGGGGTGGGGGTTTGTCTGTCGTTAAGGGGTCTGCACTCTGCACAACCTTCGGCCAAAAGACGGTGCCAAGCCAACGAAAGGGAATAAGGGGTTGGAAGAGGAGGGGGGACAGTTTATTTCAAACACAACTCTTCCTTGTACAGATTTCATGGTTTCCTTGTCTTTCAGATCCTGCACAGCATGTCAGCACGCCTTCCTGTGCGCAGGCCACGCTACCGTGGCGATTTAGCACGCCACCCTGCCCCCGCCACCTCGTCCGCCTGCCCGGTCCCCCCGAGACGCAGCACTTTCCACGCTCTGTTAGAGTTCAAAACGCCAAATAATTCCCCTAATTCTGTCACTGTAACCCAATCGCAGGAAGTTGTTTTCTTTAATTCCCTGTTTTTTTTTTTTGATGGGGTTTTTGATCACCAGACTGCATGGAGGTGTGGGGAGGGGAATCCAAAGCACTATGAGTCTCCCCATTTTTTTTTTCAAGCTTTAAGGCAGCTCAAAGAAAAGCTTTAGTCTTTGGTGAAACATTCTGGGGATTGACTGACTATCTTCGGCGCGGCCTGGCGATGCTACAGACTAGCGGGTCAAAAAACGAATGGGGAACGTTTCCACGATGCACCTGTGACCACAAAGTTATGGTCGGGCCTGTTGGGGGTGACCGTTTGCGTGAGACACTGTGCCCTCGCGGACCGGCCTGGGCGCGTGAATTCCACACCACGGTCTGCTCGCTGACGTTAGCGGCCATTGCGGGTTAAAAAAAATGCAGCCTGTTTGCGTTTAAAGGCAGAACCGATAAGAGAAAAATGTGTGACGCCATTTAGCAAGTGGGATCCCTGATCGCTGACCTCTGACCCCGTTGCCCCCGTGGGTTTCACGGGCCAGTTTTTTTCACTTATAAAACGAAGCATAAAAGCAAAGCCACAGCAGGACCGACGACGAGGAATGTGGAAATATTTGGCAGACCTACTTTTTTTTCCCGTTGTTTTGGGGAAGGGTTTGGGGGGTGGTGGTG